GTGCAACGTTAAATGAAGCGTGTTATAGAAAAATAATAGTCAAAAGGACTTATCCAAGTGCATGATATCACATATAAAACCAAAAGAAACAGCTAACTGCAAGTACATGTGCTAGAGTTCACACAGTAACCCCACACAGATACCAGAAACAACAAGAGCATAGCTAATGAAACATGAACTATGGAAAGACCATGTTAAAATCGAGAAGAGATGTCACATAACTACTGATGTGAAGAGTAGCACCAACCAAAAAAAGTAGAAATTATTAAAACATGAAAAGCAATAATGTGATGAGCATACCTGTGCGTAAAACCTGCCACTGAGGGAGCAAATGTACCAATTTAAGTCTCATGTAACATATCCGGAAAGCAACCCAGTAAGACTTCAGTCAGGAAATTTTCTTCCAATTTTTTTGACAAATGGTTTAACCATAAATCCTGGTAACATTCTTTTTTACAGAGGAGCCTGAATAACACAACTATCCTAGATGTTACAGAAAAATATCCTTAGACGTTATCCAGGACATAGTATAGCCTGTACCTCACAGCATATGGAGGAGATAGAAATGAAAGGAGGGGCCGGGGGGTAGTGAAAGGGTTAGGTCGAGATTTTAACAAGATATGGATGGAGAAAAGAAAATGAACTTCCACTAACTGAGCTAGTCGACATGTACAAAAGAACATGTAAATGTGACCGGCCAATCATGTACATACTCTAATCAGAATCCAGTTTGAATGTCTGGGGTAGCTCATCCATCACACTCAACTGCCTCCTCAACTTAACAATGTGAGCTTGCACCTGTCAGACCAATGTCCAATCAATTAGCTAATAGTAAAGTACTACTACTACAAATGTGGAAATTGAGTCTGTAAGCTCAAAGCGCATGGCTTAGAGGAGACTAAATGAGAAGATAGACAAATAAATAATCAAGGCAAGAAGGCTGGTGTGGCCAGCTGTAAACTTGTTCACAAAATATCTAATTTGCTTCAAAATGCAGCCTTTAGATATACATATTTGCATTTTGAGGTGCTTAACACAGGTGTTGTTTGAAATGTTACGAGTTCATCAATCAGGGATTTGAATCACTTGCACAATGTAGCTGACGCATGAAGCTTTGAACCATAGTTCGTTACCATGGTGAAATTGGGTTACTTTTATTATCTAGCGATCTGCTTCTCTCTTCTTTTTTCTAGTGAATGTATTCATCTACTTCTCTGATTAAGAAAAAAAAAAAGAACTGGGTCTCTTAAGAGCCGAAGGCATTCATATGCTTGAAGTTCCCTTTAAAACCCTAATGAAGTAGATAACTGACGGTCTAAAGGAGAAAAAAGGCACTCTCCAGTCTAGACAAGACAGTTTATCCAGGTCAGATGAAAATCGAGAATTCAATCCTAGCACTGAAAGATACAAGTAAAGAATTAATGATTGGATAGAGAAATTAAAGCTCAAGGAAAAATGTTGAAACATAAGTCTCATTCACCCAACATGTTTCGAGAATACACTTCTGCTCTACATTTCATCCAAAAATGAAAAAGGTAAATATAAACTTAATATAGAGATGAAAATGAACATTCAAGCTGTATTAACATAATTTATGTCAGAAATGTTTTTTTATAACCATGGAATCCGGGCCAACTTGTGTGCACTTCAACTAATCCCATGGTTACCTGCTATCTCCCACCAACACATGGTAACTCTGTCCACAAAGGCTTGGACAAATGGAAGAAATCACCTAGTGTGTTTGCCTGTTTACCTGTGCTGGGATTTGAACCTAAGATCTCATGGTTCTTAACCCACTTTATTGGCCACTAGGCCACACCCTTCTGTCACCAATATAATTCCATCAGCTTAAATAACTATAGGTCGCTACTCAGCTTTATATATAAGAAATTACGCATCCAGCTTTATCTCAAGGGAGGTACAGACACACGTGATTTCTAGTATCTATGAGCATGAATGTTTTTTACACAAAGAAGTTTAGATGCACTGAGCATGTCTGCATATGTGTGTGTGAGCGGGAGAGAGAGAGTTAAGTTAAGCTCACCCTCTGACGAGCTGCTGTGAGTTTTAAGAGTTCATCAGCCTCAGAGAAATTGATGAACCACTGACTAAGAGGATGGTTTTTTTGTATCACCTCTCTTCAAGGCATGCAGGTCCTCAATTGGTGCTAAGAAACATAAAGTAGAAAATTACAAACTGAAAGGACCAAGTTATTCCAGCAGCAAATCCAAAAGATCTCAGCAAAGAAGATATTTACCAGGAGGCAACTTAAATGTTGCAGGAAGCCGTGGCACGACTACTGCAGGATGGTTCTGAATACGAGAAAAGAAATCCTCAGGAGGGTCCGGGAATACAATCTCATTGTAAGTTTCCACAACAATAGGTTTCTTTGTTGACTGGGGGCCAGGCTCATTCTCTGCGTATAACTTCAAATGATGATACCTAGGGAAACAAGATCACTGTAAGTATATCCACGCTGCCAGGCAAAGTTTAAAGAGAAAAAGAAACCAATTCACAAAGTGAAGAACTTACAAATCCAACTTCTTTTCACCAACGTCATCGTGGAAGAGAAGGGATATTGCAATTTCAAACTCGCCCCAACCACATTCTGACAACTCAAAGGGCGGTGATTCTACCACTCTAACAGGATTATTAAAGCTTGGATGCAGTTGAAAAACAACTTTCTTGATAACGCCACTAAGATCCTCATTTGTTGCCCCACGAACATATACTGACCACCTATGTGACTGAGTTCTGATTGACAACCCCATATATTATAATTGTATCAAGAAGCATAATACTCTGAGCAAATAAATGCACTAAAAAGAATACCCACGCCCACTTACTCAGTGGCTTTCTTGCCTAGCCAAAATGCAATTGTTCCAAAGACTATTGGGACATAAATTTCAACATCTTTCAGCCTCTTGCATGAAGTCTGTGTAATACCAGAAATTAGTCAAATTATATCTCAAGCTATGAAAGAAGTTAGGTAACGGAAAAAACTGGTCAATGCGCAAGTCTCAAATAAATAACACTGCAAACTGATCAAACAGAATAATTCATCAAATACATAAATATAAGCAGCATGATGAAATATTACACTCTAGGATCCATGTAAAATCGAATCGTGCAGGTAATATGAAAAATGAAGAACTACTACCACTATATTATCAAAAACAGGGCCAATAACCTCCATTTTTATTAATATCCTAACATGAAACATACTTGCACCAATATCCGCACAAACATAGGAGTTAAAAGCATACGATACACCAAAAAATAGAAAAATAGTGAGAAGTACTAGTCATAAATTTATCAGATAACAATAACGTGCCTTTTTTTCAAAATCTTCGGAAGGGTTAGCAATTTTGGTGAGTTGTAGCCTTGGATCAGCGTCATTTCCACCAAGGTCACTGTCATTCGGCGTCATGGAAGGCGAGTTTAGAGGCATTTTACATGCAAAACGAACCTAGTTATGGAAATTGAGGTTGTTTTGACTAGTAATTTGAAGAAATTGGGAATTAGGGTTTTGAAATTGAAGAAAAAAAGGGGGATTTTAGAGGGAAGAGGGGAAATCTGATGCGTTTGGTGGGAATTAGAAAGGCGTGGAGTTTTGGGTATTACTGCGTATTTGCATGAAACAAAAGAATGTTCCAATTCTGGTTTTCGCCTCCCTCCAAACTAACCCGCCAAATATCAAGGATGTCTCTGTTTTCTTTTGAGGAAAGTTTATTATATTAGCAAACATATGTACTTTATTTATTTGAAATTTAAAATAGTGAGAGTTTAAAAAATAGCCAGAGTTTGAGTTTTATCTGCTTTATTTTGTATTTATCGACTTGATATGTATCATTTTATCAACACATTGTGATATAAAATGATACACCAAACTATTACTACGTTTTGTAATTAGTCAAATTATTGATATGATTGATAATTAAATTTCTCCTATTAATAAGGAAATTAAGATTGTTTCCCTAATTTTGATTAGTCATTTTACTATTCAACTCATCCTCCTTTCTAGCAAAAGATGGAATTATTATTATTTAAAAAGAAAAAAAATGCTTTTAAATTAGTACATTATATACAACTTTTTAGAAGGTTCTATGCGTATGATATTCTTGCAATTATTATAAGGCCAAAATGACAAATGTTGAGTAAAAGATTTAATTATACGATATTTGTGAATATATTGAAGCGTTATCTATATGATATTTGATAGTTTGACTCATTCTTTTCTATGTTAGTATATATTGTAATCATCAAAGAAGAGATTTGAGAGTTTAAGATAACCAAACGCCTATTTAGTATAATGTCTAAAATATACATGCTTATCCAAATAATCAGAGGTGCATCTTTAGCCAAGAACGAGTTAAGGTTTACAATTCGAAGATCAAGTCAGAGACTGCTAGACATCTTGCAAAGCAACTCTCACTGAACAAGAATGTTGAAATAGTTCAAGAAAAGAATTGTGGCGTAATCAAATTGGTTTATGAGAAAAAAAAATATATATTCTTACTTGATATGTTCTAAGGGTATATAGTACTAGAGTAATAATGAAAAATAATAGTAACTTTTAAGGTACATAAAAGCAATTAAAACTTAATATGAGTTGGATAAATTGAATTATAACCCAAGTCTCAATCAATTTTAACCCGAGTAACTTTTGAATGGATCAATAGCCCACACCCATTTATTAACTCAAACTATCTTGATCTGTTCAAATTCAGCTCAACCCGCCCATTTGCGACCTATAAATTGAACTTTGGTACATCACGAATTTAGGTACTAGAGAGCAAGGCATTATTCTTAGACCCATGCATACTTGTAAAAGAAAAACCAATGCCACTTGTCATTTATCGAAAAAGAACAAATATCATTATATCAATACCATTGTGTGACTGCCATCCTCAATAAATTGAAAAGGTGAAGAACAGAAGATATACAAGGCACGACACCGAAGAGGGTGCAGTCTAGTTTTTCCATTAGATTTGAGAATAAATCTGCATTTTATAAATGTGACAGTACAAGACAACAAGGGGTACAAAGATTCCACTCAAAGTTGCATTTACTGGATACAAGGTTTTGCAGAATGCAGTTGCTGCATTCACCTTTTATGCAGCAGGTGACAATGCCACAAGAAACAAATGGTCTAAACACACTGAGCTAAATATTTGAAGCACTTAGCGCCATAACTTTGCACTGTTCATTCATGGCCAAAAGCTGTGCCTCTTTCTTATCAAGTAGAGCAGCCAACCTCACATTTTGTTCCATCAGTTTTTGTACTTGGGCCTCTTTCTGCGTCTTCTCACTCTCCAATTGTGTTGTCTTGGCGACCAGCCTGGTTTCACATAAAACAAACTCAGCACACAATTTATCCAGATGATGAAAAATCAGTTCATCAAATTATTACAGCTTTAACATTTTGTGCCAATTGGGATATGAGAAAAATTTAGCTTGAGCACAGAAGAAAGTTGTAAGGAGCACAAAATTTAAAGCTTATATTAGCTCAAATAAATCTAGAAGTAAGAACAAGGGGCGTTCTCTCAATTCCAATCAGATGAAACTTCATCAAAGTTCGCGCTTTCTTTTTGTTCTGTACTACTATGTTACTTGGTCATACAACTACCAACGACTTTAAGATGCTAATTGGGTTGAGCAAGAGAGTAATGAAATGGAGGATATTGGAACATCATTTCAAATATATAGCATCAAGTTCTAATCTCAATTAATTATCAATTAGAAAAAGATTATTCAACTTCATTCAAAAAGAAAAGAACAAATTTTATGCCATCAGATAGAGAATACAACTTTTTCTTTTAATAAAAGTTTGAGAGAGCTGGGTTTTAAAATTGATGAACTTGACACTCATTATTGCCTTATATTGGATTAAGGTGTTACAAACTAGCAGTAAAACCTTCCGAGTTTATTCTCAATTATTTCATCCTGGTATCATCGAGTTTTTATTTATACTTTGAGATTCTTTAGTTTCTGGACTAATATGCTTTTACGCTCCATGACAGAATAACCAGGGCTCGTATACAAAAAAATAAAAATAAAATTGAGGACTTCAAATTTTACCCTGTAAGTAAATGAAAAATAGAGAAATTCTTTTAATTTTGTGTTCTTTGGCCAATGTACACCATTGGAGCAGATGCACTTTGTATAGAGTAAAGGCTCTAACCTCTGCTCCTTCGACTGATTGTTCTAATTTCTCACAAATATTTCTATTAAAAAAAAGTGGACCTTTGGCCTAGCTCAACCTCAAAAGCTAGCTCATATGGTGAGAGAAAACCATAAAATGAGACATCAACCATAGATTAAGAGATGTTTATTCCCTAGAATCAGTATTGTACCATATTGTAACCTAGTAACTAGTATAAATTCTCAACCAAACTTATGGGAATAATCAAACTTTTCCAATCACTCCTTAATCTTTTCCCTAATTTCTCACCCCTTGTAGAGTTTTCAGATGGTATATCTGTCTTACATCTGGGAGTTAGTGCAACAAAGCACACATCAAAATAAAATAAACATAACTCCATAAGCAACAATTTGGATTTTTTTTCCTTTTTGGTTCAGTTATCCCTGTAACATCATGTAAACAATGCATTGTTAATTCCAAATGGTCCCAGCCCTTAGCAGTGAACAATGATCAACACTGTTAAGATTCAAATGATCCCCCATCCCACCCCAAGCCTGGAAAATAATAAAAAAGAGAAATATGACGACCCTAGATCATTACACGAACAAGATCCTACAATAGTCCAATAGCTAAAAAGGGACGTTACAGCACTAAGCTTGTCAAGAGTCCAGCATGGTATTAATAGTCTAAATCAACCACACCCAAAGAAAAAGAAAAGTTTAGAACACTTGAACAACTATAAGTATCTAATTATCTATCCTTGCACTCCCTTTAAATCAATAGCTGCCTTGAGGTGAAATACATATATATACTACTTCTAAATTCTAATTCCTAAAAGCAATATTTTATACACAAAAAAACAGCCAGACCAGAGAAACAAGGTAGTAATATAGTGGAGCTATCACAACATTTTTTACCAAATAATACACATTAGACTTGTGCATTTGTATTGCAATTATTATACACAAGCTGCAAGGCAAGTATTATTCGAACACACAGGAAGAAGTTGTGCTTGGACAATTGTATTCCAGTTACAAGTTGTATGGCAAGTATTAAGATGCAGTGCTATGAAAGTAAGGCAAAAAGATATATTAATATTTAACTTCATGCATCACAGACACATTGTATAGCCAGGAAATAAAGAAACAGTTCGGTCCGCATGTTATGGTTAATGGAAATTTCTTTGACGAAAGGGGAATACTTACCGCTCAAAAAGCCTTTCAATTGTCTGGAATTGCTTTTCTGATGATAGAATTGTTTCTCTCACACTAATGAGACTACTGACATAGGATTTCAGAGACTCAAAGTCTGTCTTAACACGACAAAGCTCCTGCTCATTTTCTGCAGCTCTCTGCCTCTGTCTAGAAGTTTCTTCAACCAAATCTTCAACTCTCTGCCGCATCTCAGTCAGGATAAGATTTGTACCCAGAGCAAATCTTTCCATTTCCTCTAACTTAATAGACATGTTTTCAATCAGGAGCGTCTTCCTTTTAATCACTTCTTCACCTACTGTTACCTTGTCTTTCTCTATAGCAGTTTCAGATTCCGCCATTATAATCCTCTTGACAAGACTTTCCATAACATCTGTAACCAATTGTACACTTCTGAGTAATTCACTCATATAAGATCCATCTTGTTCATCAAGTTGACCATGTTTACTCGAAAGTCTAATCCATAATTCATCATCAGCATCATCAAAAGATGGGAGATCAACATCCCTAGTCCAACTGGATAATGGTATGCCATTTTTATCAACAATACCCACTCCATCTAGTTCTTTGATGCCGCATGAGGAATGGGCCAAATCTGGAACAGCCACGACTCTGGCTTTAGCTTTCAAATACGTCATCAATGTTGTAGCAGTTCTTACTCTATGCCATAGAACATCTAACTCCTTCTTTGTATCTTCTTCTGATCCCTGAATAGAAGCTTTTACCTCCAACAGTTTTGCTTGCAAAGCATCCACTTGGGACTGGCTTTTCTCCATCTCTAGCTTCCAAGTAACGTCTGTTTGAGTCAATTGGGATTTCAAAGCTGAGAGATCAATATGTCCCTCCCCCGCCATCACCTTATCAAGTCACTGATGTGAGTTCAGGAACCTATAAAATTAAATGTTTTAGGAACATTGGGTTTTCGTAACTAGTAGAAGACAGTTGGTCAAATGAACCACATGGGAATCATATCAAAACTTTAACTTTAATAACCACCCTGCAGCTCTCGACCTTTGGGTAAAAAAGGCCAATTGAATACAAATTCTTCTACGGTGATTTTATTCACTTTCATTCAAGCAGAATATTCAGATTAAAAAAGTTAAGCTGCACTCATTTAAAACTTGTTGAGGAATTCCCATGACATCACAGGATAAAGCATAATAAATCCACCATGTTCTTTGCAATGCCCCAGGAATTAGTCTAATTTCATTCACAATACACCACAAGGACAGCATTTCCAGATAAAGTTTATTAAGAACATTATAAAGTCATACAAATTCGTGGCGAACTGTGCTTTCGCAAGGCTAGAAAAGTACAAAACAAACTGGCAGGAAGTTTAGACATCGCTCTACTGATTACATCCATATTAATCCAAAACCCAACTGTCAAAAAGCCTTCTTTGACGAATCAAGCTCATAAAAATCCAAGAAAGAGAAACCCCATTATCTGTTCCTCCCCCTCCTAGAAAAAAACAAAGAAAATAAAACACCTAAAAGAATTAGAATTTCAGACCAAGAAATGGACAATTTTCCCGCATAAAGTATACCAAAATCATAGGATTAAACCCTTCTTATCAACACCCATCAAATTCCGATCAACATTCAAAGAATTGGAACGAAAAGAAATACAAAATCAAGGTAATTTGTTAATCTAAACAACTTTGCGCAGTTATAAAAGGGAAACAGGATTTCGGAGGAAGACAAAGTAAGCAGAACCAAAAATTACAATTTGTGAAGATAAATAAAAGAAGGCACCTCGCAAAATTGAGGGTAATTTTGGGTGTTGATGATGATAATGCTTCAACACGTATAGTCTCATGGAAAATTATCAATGAAAATTTCCATCACGAACCAATTTGGTAAAGGCAGTTTCTTGCTTTTTGTTGTCTCTACCTTTTCCTTGTCCAGTTTCCTTACAAAATTATATAGTGGGACCTTTAGGTGTTTTGTTTAGTCCATAAAATGAAAAACCACCAAATGGATTCAGGATAAAATGACATAAAAAATGTTTATGGTTGTGTGTCATGTTCAATTTTAACTTTTTTTTATATACCAAATAATGTTGTCTTAAAAGATTTTTTTGGAACTCGTTTGCTGTCCCATTTTTTAAAATTTAAGTACTTTTTCATTAGAAATTATAATCCGGAGTAAAAAAAGTTGCTCATAGAATTACATCTAGCAAGATAACATAAAGTGTATAAGAATATTACTCCTGAGATTATCTTGTTCAAAATTTTCACAAATACACACCAACTTCCAAAAAAAAAAAATCAAAAAAGTTTTCACAAACAAATGTCAGTGTAGAGTTAGTTGCACTATCAGTTATTGAAAGGCATTTGTTGATCATTACCAATAATAAATGAAATTAGTAATCTAGAAAATAAGATAAATAATTTTAATTACATTAAATTGCATTGATATTGTAAAAGTTTCATTACATCAACAGTGAGTATAAATTAGTAAATCCTTGTTTATATACCATTGGTCATAGCTCAGTTGGACAAACAAAAATGAAATTTAGGGCATGACACTACATGCAGATCATAGTACCTGCTTCAAATTAAATACTACAACTGCACCTGGATGAGATGTCTTTTGTTCTTATTTCAAATATTTACATATGAAACACCCAATGCATGGACAAATATAGGTGCCTCCAATTGCATACAAAGGTGTCACTACTAGGTTGAAGGAAGTTAGGAATGTACATTTTGACAACTTCTTTACTTTGACCTAATAATCGCTCTTAGGACATATCTATCATGATACATTTCTTTATATATAATATATACATGATCCGAGCCAAAGCTACTAACCCTGTCCAGATAGAGTATAGTTTAGGCCACCAGCTTGGTGAGGGCAGGCTGTCTGAATTCTGATGACAGGTTAAGGCAAGGCCTGCTTAGTAAACAGGGAAAAATGAGTGATGGAGTTGAGTTTTCAGTTTTTCACAAACGACTCTACTTGTGAAGAAGAGGTGATAAGGCCTGAGATGAGTCCTACAATGAGGGCACTGTTGTAGGTAGTTGGTTCACTTTGCGAAATGTTGTTCCGAGAGTCCATGTATGTATCACTAAGGGATGGTCCCCCAACAAGAGCTCCAACTGCAACATTTGGATTAGGGTGTCTTGTGTGAAGCCATTTGAAGCCATCACTGCAATTAGAATTAGCATTTACTGGAATTGAAGCACCTCTATGGTGAACTTGCTGAGGATATCTACTTCCATAACCAACAAGGTAGCTCATTTCCATTGGATTGTTTCCCAAGATATAATCCAACTGAAAACAAAATAAGAAGTTCGATGGCCTTGAGGTGTAATGCATTCAGAGTTAAAAAAACAAAAATACTGCTTAAAAGCATATCAAGAAAGAAGAAAATACATAAGATAAAAGTTTATTCAAGAGAAATTATTTAAAAGATGTTCTTCTTAACCCTTTAGTCTGTTCAACGGACCATTTCATCTACACAGAAAATCAGACTCTGGAGTCATGTGTTGTTCAACTGAAACTACTAAAAGGATGTTAATGACATGTTCAATTGGCCGTGCATACATTAGTACATACCTGTGAAACTGCAAAGTTGCGCAACTCTGTTGGTTCATATAACTTCCCACTGCAATATAAATTTGATATTTGGGAGCTAAGCATGTAATCACTGTAAACCACTGCCAGAAATGAAGAGGCCACAGAATACTGGAATGGATTCCACTGGTTCACCCATACCAGGCGATCTGCCACAAAATTATAGTTTTATTGCAGCAACTTTTCTTTCTAAAAAGAAAAACATCATAATTATACAATGACTTGTTGACAATGTTTTTCTTTATTTGGAAGGGATCTAAATATAGATGGGCCAAATTTGCTGACAGGGTCACAATTTCATCACAATACCTGCTGTTCTTTGAGAGGTTGTCGTTGGGGATTCAGGTAGAAGTCCACACAAGAATATCTCAGAAGTTTGTCTGTACGACTGGAGGGAAAGACTTTCCTCAGTTGAAATGTCTTCCTTTGAACCAAAGAAATTGACCCTTGATAATAGGACCTGAATCAAACATAAAAATCTGCATAGTTAGCTGGAGAAATCTTTCTTCTGAATAATAAAAAAAAGGTCAATACTCAATTTTTGTTTATGAACATGATTTATCAGTATAGAGGTACATGCTTCACCAAATTATGGGCCATAACCTATTATAACAAAGCAAAGTAAGCAACCCAAACATAAGCAAGATTTTGTGTTCTTCATAGTATTTCCAAGTATCGTATTTTTCCAACTTCATGCTAATTGCACAAACAGATTCTATCAGTTCTAATAGCTAACATCTAAAAGCTAGAATTCTGGAATACATGCAACTTCGTGACATGTATGTGTACAATACCTGAACTCCAGCCAATTTGTTTTCCCAAGAAAACCAAGATGGATTTCCCCAATTAGCAAACGCATTGTCATTTACAGACACATATGTTAAGTAAGATTTGTCTCCGGTAGCATGATAAAGCCAAGCAGATGCCCACAAGAGTTCATCCACAAATCCAGTAGAATTATAGAAATCTTGCACTCCGGGTATGCTGATACTATACGAACCTCTATAACTATCAGCAAATTTGAATAACTGTTTGGCATGCTTTAATAGTGTTCCTGAGTAGGCAGAGTCAATTGACTTGAACACCAAGGATGCAGCCGCCATTGCTGCTGCACTTTCAGCCGCAACATCTGTCCCAGGATACGATGCGTTAACTTGTGTAAGAGGCCTTTTTCCTGTCATTTCCTCAGGTCTTTCCCAGCATGTGTGATCCAGCTTTGGGTCCCCCACCTTTCTTGCAGAAAAAAAAAACATAAAGACACTTCATTAAGCAACATTTCCCTTTTATCTTAATACTGCAGGCGTTTATGACTTGTGTATATGTTGTGTGCAGCAACAAACTAAAACGTCGTCATTTGCATTGGCTAGAAGGATAAGAAAACACATTCTCAGCAGTCAGAAAACCAGTTACAGGAGGCCTTGTTTAGGAAGTTGGAAGTAGAAAACAAAATGGAAGTTCTACATGATTATAGTGCAAATGAAGGAACAACAATTTCGCAAAGGAAATATCACAGGAAGTTCCAAATTAGTACTGAGGAAAAACTGAAAATACTTCTCAATTGTCATAGGGAATTATTCTACCTGAATATACAGGACATTTTCCGAAGGATGAGCATTAATAAGAAAATCAGTGATCCACTTGAGGGATTCATGGGCGTTATCCAGCTCGTTCACCATGTTCATGTGGTTTCCATACTCCAAAATTGCCCATGATAAAACTGTAGCAGTGAATGCCATTGGAAATCCAAACTTCACATGGTCTCCAGCATCATACATTCCTCTACTTAAATCCAAATTCACTTCACTTCCATCTCCCAAAGCCGAATCTCCTCTCCAAGCAATCTTATTATTCACCAATTTTCCAGCTGCAGTTAATGATTCAAAAATCAAAATAAGTACTCCTAAACTTAGGACTAATTAAGTGACCAATGTGAATATAGCTAGTCTTACACTTCTGAACGTCGAAGAATTGCATAGCAATGCTTAGAGCATTTGCATATTTGTCAACCACTTGGTGAGCATCTGCCTCTGAAGAATTAGAACGATGAAAATATTTTCGGAAACTGATTAAAACTGCAGCAAGAACAAGAGCCATGATCACCAGGATCAGCCCCCTCCATACCCATCTTTTATCCTTGTGTGGTTCTTTCTCCATTCAATTTCAATTCTCTTCACCAAAATGTTTCGAATAAAATCAGACCTTCCATTCTTTGAATGAACTAAATTATACTCTTCGTGTGGCCTCATTATATATGCTATTTGAGTATCTTGACAATCACTAAAATACAGTACATAGAGATGAAACCGGCATATCTGAGCTTTGTCTTTATCTGATTCTTGATTTCTCTCCTTCCAACATTTTGGAAGTATTTGGAATTGTAATTAACGAGAATCTTGATGTTTATTCCTCTTCCTAAACTATGTCACCAATAAAACCCTCCCGCTTACGAAAGGTTATTCTTTCTTAATCATATTCCAACTATGCTTGCTCCCTCTTTGTCAGGGAACAAATAGCTTCAACTTTACTCCATAAAAAAAGGAATATTAAAAATCAAGTAAAAAAATGTAATATTTAAGTTCTGAAAGAGAATATATCATGGACCATCTTAAATTTTCTTATGTCATTGGGTGTACAAAGAGGTTGACAATTTCAAGTTCAAGAAATAGCATTAAGGGGATGCTTGCTTCATGTTTTAGTTATATAGAGATTTCATATTTTATCGCCCATAAAATATATATATCCTCGCATAACTTATGCAAGTATTACCACTGAACTCTTCTTTGATACAGCATCATGACTAAGAGTACTGTAGTTGTTAAAGGGATAACAAAAATATATAGTATCCAATTATTTGCTTAAATCTAGTAGTACTAATAACTTTCAAGTTTACAAAAAATTGGACTAATTAAAGCAAAGAGGGGAAAAATTTCTTCTGATGATCTCAAACTTGAACTTTCCAGTGGATCAAGGTTTGTCTCCTGTACCTTTAAACATAGATTCAGGAGCAAGAGGAGTAGGAGTATCCAACTGGTAAAGGTCAAATGCAGGACCAACAAATCAAAAAAGTATCCAACCCCCAATTATAATAAAAATAGAAGCATAAGCAAATTTGTTTAGCCAGAACAAAAGTCCTTTTTCTCCAACGTACAATTTTTTATGATAAGCGAAATTCATAGTTATTATCTGCTGGGTACATATAAAGTAAAATTTCATTCCTATAAGTTATTTGTATTTTTCATCTATATAAATATTGAGTAATTTTGCTCAACAATACATAAATGTTAATTGGGTACTAATTTCCAACTTTACA